GTATCATTTAAGGCCACTTTTACCTTTTTGATTTTCTATTTGGTCTATCCATTGATGTCAATTGGGTGTTAAAAGTCCACTACTATGACTATAATTTTCTCCATCTCCTCTTTTATGTCCACCAATCTTTGCTCTGTAGATTTAGGTGCTCCTATGGTGAGTGCGTAGGCATTTATAAGAGGTCCAACCTTTTGTTGGATTGATCCTTTTATCATTATAAAATGCTCTTTTTTGTCTCATGTTACAGCCCTTGTTTTAAAGTCTCTTTTGTCTGATATAAATATTGCTACCTTAGTTTTGTTTTCATTTCCATTTACATGAAATATTTTTTATATCCATTTACTTTCAGACTGTTTGTGGCTTTCAATCTGAAGTTTGATTACAAACTTGTTACAATTAGGTTTACAGATCTTGTTTTTAATCTATTCAGCCACCTTATGTCTTTTGATTGGGGCATTTAGTCCATTTACATTTAAAGGGATTGTTGATAGATATGTAGTTATTGACATTTTATTGACTGTTTTCTGATGGTTTTTGTAGTTCTCTGTTCTTTTCTTATTCTCTTGCTCTCCTTTCTTGTATTTTGGTGACTTTCTATAATATTGTGTTTGGATTTCTTTCTCTTTATTTCTAGAATATCTCGTGTTATTTTCTGGTTTGTGGTTACTGTGCACTTCATATATACCAAGCTATGTTTACAGCAGTCTACTTTAAGTTTATGGTCACTTAAGTTCAAAGGATTTTATTCACCCCTTGACATTTATGTTTTAGTTATTCTTTTTTCTTCTTTTTTGTGTCTGTGTATCCCTTAATTTATTGTTATAATTATACATGATCTTTCTACTTTTGCCTTTTAACCTTGGTACTAACTTTATAATTGGTTAATCCACTGCTTTTATGTGTTGGCCTTGTCAGTGAGAATATTTGTCTGTCCTACATTTTCTATTTCATTTATTTTTATCTTTTCTTTTCTTTTTAAACAAGTCCCTTTAACTTTTCTTCTAATACTGGTTTGGTGGTGATGAACCTTTTTTTATCTTTTTCTTGTCTGGGAAACTCTTCATCTCTCCTTCAGTTCTAAATGATAGCTGGCTAAGTAGAAGAATCTTGGTTGTAGGTCCTTGCTTTTCATCACTTCGAACATTTCATGCTACTCCCACTTCACTGCAAAGTTTAGAAATCAGCTGACAGTCTTATGGGAGTTGCCTTGCACATAACTAACTGCTTTTCTTTTGCTATTTTTAAGGTTCTTTCTTTGTTAATCTTTGACATTTTAATTATATGTCTTGATGTGAGCCTCTTTCATTTAATCTACTTTGGGATTCTTCATGGACATGAAGTTTATTTCTTTGGCCAGGTTAAGGAAGTTTTCAGTCATTATTTTTTTCAAATAGATTTTCTAGTCCATTGTTTTAACCACTTGGCCATGACTACCCTTTCACGTAGGTTTTTAATGCCTTGCTCTCACTCTTCTCTTCCTGGCACCCCTGTGATGTGAATGTTGGTCCGCTAGCAGTTGTCCAGGATGTCCCTTAAACTATCCTTATTTTTTGTGGGTTCTTTTTTTTCTTTGTGCTGTACTGATTAGGTATACATGACTTTTCTTCCAAGTCATGGATTAGAGCCTCTTCTTTTAAAAAAAAAATTTTTTTTTTAGTTACAGTTGTCCCCATTTTCCTCCCATTACTCTCCTCTGGCCTACCCACCCCCACTTCCCATATTCAGTCCCCTCCCCCATGTTGTCATTGCCCATGGGTCCTTTATCCGTGTTCCTTGATGACCTTTCCCTTCTTTCCTCCATTATCTCTCTTCCCCTTCCTCTCTGGTCACTGTCAGTTCTTTATTTCCATGTCTCTGGTTCTATTTTGCTTGCTTGTTTTGTTGATTAGGTTTCACTTATAGGTGAGATCATATGGTATTTGGCTTTCACTGCCTGGCTTACTTTACTTAGAATAATGCTCTCCAGTTCCATCCATGCTGAAGGGTAGTTCTTCTTTCTTCTGCTGCATAGTATCCCATTGTGTAGATGTACCACAGTCTCTTCTTTACCTAAGTGACTATTGTTCCTTTCTAATGCAGTCTTCATTTGTTGTTGTAGTCTTCATTTTTGACTGTTTTTATGTTTATATCTCCATTTTTATGTTCTTATTGAATTTCTCACTGAGTTCCTCTATTTTTCCCCTAAGTTCACTGAGAATCACCAGTGTTTTGAATTCTTCAAGTGGTAGATTGCTTGTCTCCATTCTGTTTATTTTTTTTTTAGTTTTTATTTATTTTTATAGAGGGGGAGGGAGGGAGAGAGTGACACATTAATGTGTGGTTGCCTCTCATGCATGCCCTACTGAGGACCTGGCCTGCAACCCAGGCTTATGCTCTGACTAGTAATCAAACCAGCACCCCTTTGGTTCACAGTCCAGCACTCAGTCCACTGAGCCACACCAGTCAGAGCAATTTCAGTTTATTTTTTTTGGAGTTTTGTTTTATTCCTTCATTTGGGATGGTTGTCTTCTCATTTTGGCTGCCTTCCTGCATTTGTTTCTATGTATTAGGTAAAGCTGCTATATCTCCTGGTCTTGCCAGAGTGGCCGGCCCTGTGTAGTAGGTGTCCTGAGAGACCCAGGGGCACAACGTTTCTGGCCAACTGAACTGTTTATTCCAGGGTCGTAAACAGTTCAGTTGGCCAGAAACTGGCCCTTGTGTGGGTCGTGTGCGCCCTCCTGTTGTAGTTGAGCCTGGATTGCTGTTGGAAGATCAGGAGGTGGGATTGATCCTCAGGCTGACTGGCTATAAGGAATGACTGGGTCTCCCCCAGACAAGATGTCATGTGGCGGCTGACCCCACAGAGTGGAATTTGCTTTGGCGGGGCTCTGATGCCCGTCCAGTCTGCCTTTTGGGTGTGGCATTTGCACAGCTCGTTGGCTGGTACTCTGGTGTGGTCTGAAGCCAGTCACCAGGAATGTTAGCTCTGGAGCCTCCTGGGTGGGGCTCTGATGCAGGCTAGTATCAGCCATGCCCGTGGTCGGCCCAGGTTAAGAATCCAAAGCTAAGGTCTAAGGGTCTTGTTTGAAATGAAAAGCGCATGCTCCCACAGAAGCCCCATTACAGAAGCCTAGCAGGCTCCCACAGCCATTCACAGAGCCTGTGAGCTCATATCGTAGCTGAAGTACAGCATGAATCACATCACCCTACTCATATCCACATGTTATTTAATGGAGTTTCTCTGGAGAAATGCACTTACCTGTCTTCCTGGCAAGCTAGGCATACCTCTCGGCCTTCTTATGGGTGATGATAGCCTCTCTACCCAGACATTCTGGGAGGAAGAGACTGCACAGCTAGAACAGGGTGGCAGTCTCCTGTGGCAGAATGGTGGAAGATTCTGTCCTTCTGACACCAGAAACTCCTCAGCAAGGGCTGGCTGCCTGTGCACGTGCCTTCTCTATCTCTACAATGATTGTTCTCACTATCCCTTACTCGGGGGATCCACCACTCTGGCCAGGTTTTCTCTTTCCTTAGACCAGAGTAACTGGAAATACTATTTTGTAGCTTCTCTTACTTATTTGGAAGAAAGTAAAGGTATAGAAGTGACAAGCACGGGCCTTTCTGTATCCAAAGACAGTAAGATCCACTGATACTATAGAGGAAAGCTCATATTCTGTGAACCTTCTAAACTTTTGGTTATAGCAGCAGGAACCTTGCCATGAAATGAAGGACAGGGAGAAAAGGCACAGAGACTCCCTTGGCCAGTGTAGGTTGTGTATGGGGTCAGCCTTGGCTGGGGCTCAGACCAGGGGCAGCCTCCTGCCACCACAGCTCTGGCAGTACAGAAAGTCAGGTAGAAAGGTAGGACTGAGTGCGTGCAAGCCAGGAAATGATCAGCTAGCTCTAAGAGCAGCACACAAAGAAAGGAAAGCCCTCCCTACAGGTATCTGAGAGCTGGGCAGGAAGGGTGATCCTTATAAGAAATTGGGTGATGAGCAAGAAATTCCTATAGTGACCAGAGTCCAGAGTTTGACTGTCATGGGGGCGAGAGAAAGGCCACTCTGCCACATGACTACACAAAACAGCAACCAGAGCAAGTTCGCCCAGGGGAACGGCTCACACGTCCTTGCTGTTGTATGGATGGTGGCTAGCAGGGTCCCCAGAGTGGGCCAGGTTACCGTTTAGTATTGCTAAATCAAGCAGAACATTATAGGATATGTTTCTGATATAAACACCTTCCTCCCCACTAGAAAACAATGACACCTCAAAGGATAATCAGGATAAGCTGTATTCCTCCCCTTCTTTTTGATTACAGCTCTTTGTGTACAGCTACTGAGGAAACAGCTTTTACTTAGCTCTGGTTCTCAGCAGGGACTGTGTACAGATCAAAGGTACAGATTTTGTCTACAAGAAGCACAACTAGCACAGGCCCCCCAGGTCCACGGTGCAGCACAGTGCTGGGGCGGAGAAGCACACAGGATCCTGAGAGAGCCCCAAGGAGCGGCTGGGGCCAGAGCGGACAGAAGGGGTCCCACTTGAATGTATTTTGAAAGATGACTAAAAGTTAGCCAGTTAGGGAAATAAAGTTTGCAAAGGAAAATCTTAAGCAAAGGGACCAGCATGGCTCTCTCTGCTACAAAGGTGTGGAGTGAGATTGGGTGGCTGCACATTGTGCTGTAAATCCGACACATCAGTGGGCCTCAAAGAGCGATGAGACGTGACCAGGGACCAGGGCAGGGTTCAAGGATAAATGTACACTTATCGGTTACACCAGTGAGAAAACCATTTTTATATTTTTGCAGTTTCTCTTTCAGGTTGTTTTTGAAGTGGAGGAATGCTGTGGTCTTTCAGATTGCATAGGTGGAACCTCAATTTTACTTATAATTGTGAGCCTTGGAAAACCTCTAAATAGAGCAGTTTATGGAAGATGCTTCGTGAATTCACTGAATTGAATCAAACTGGCCTTAGCAACCACACTGCAGATTAATAATAAAGGCCTGGCTTTGTTTGCTATTTTTCAGATACCATGATCAACAGGATGTTACTAGCAACTTCCTTGGAGCGATGTGGTTGATATCAATAACTTTTCTCTCCATTGGTTATGGTGACATGGTACCTAACACATACTGTGGGAAAGGAGTCTGTTTGCTTACTGGAATTATGGTAAGTGTCTTTTTACTTTCCATCTCTTTTGTTTATACTCAGGGAGGCACTTAAACTGTTGGGTCCATATGCAGAAGTCAGTATAATAAATCCAGTCTGTGTTGGGAGAGAACATCCACAGTTTTCATCTTATTCTGCTCATCGTGAAGCTCCAGTGAGGACATGGAGGTGCTGGTTGCTCTTTGTGGGTGATGCCCTGATTTGATGAACCAGTATCTTAGAGCTTCAGCCTCAGAGTCAGAAAGTTCTTTGTGTAAGTCTGGATTCTGTTAGTCTGTATCCTGTTAGCTGTGCGAAGATGAATACATTTCTCTTCTCTGAATCCTACTTCCCTCAACTGTAAAATGTAGATCATTATAAGCATTTTGAAGTGTGTCAAAAGGCTTGAAGAACTACATGACATTTTATCAATTAGATTAGATTAGATGTATTATTTTAACAAATATTTGTTGAGTGCCAGGCCCTGGACAAGATACTGGAAACACAGCAAAAGAAGACAGAAACCGTTCTTGCCCCACCTTGTTGGAGCTTACAGGGAGAAAACCTGCACTGAAAATAATAAGTGTTAATCATACTTGTGACAAATAGATGAGGAGGTAAAGCTTCTGATCTTGATTTTGGGACTGAAGGATGAGATCTCCTCAGAGAAATAGATCCTTGTAAAGTTGACCTTTAACTTTTAACTAAGGTGGGAAGAGTGGGTAGCGAGACAAAGTGGGAAGACGGAAGGGCCTTCTGGAAGAAGAAATAGTTTATTTGAAGGCAACGAGGCAAGGAAGAGCTCGGTACACAGCAAGGCCACTAGGCCAGGGGTGTGCGAAGTAAAGTGCGACGGTGTCATGGCACGAGGCTGGGTTCCGAGGGCAGGTCTTGCGGAGCACTCGGGAAAGGTGTGCTGCCTCGGGTGACGTGCCACTGTTCAGTGGGGGTGCCCAGCAGGCTCCGACACCCCTTCCTTGCCCCAGCAGGCTCCGACACCCCTTCCTTGCCCCTTACGTACCGTGGTTTGGCCAGGACTGGTTTGCACCATGTGTTTTAGATGTGTGAAAATGGAAGGCTAACATGCCATCTAAAATTTATTAATGGGGTATGAGCTTTTAAGTGTTTCAAATTGATGTGCCTTTTTAAGTGTCTTAATTTCTCCTTATCTGCTTTTTATATAGTTTGGTTATAGCAAAGAGAGTTGTCTTGATGCTTTCTGCCTACATAAGGAAGTGGATCAGTACCGGGAGCTGATTACCGGCAGGAAATTCCCAGAATGTCTGGAGTGAGACATCCCTGCCCAACGAGAGGCAGGCTTCCCACATGAGAGCTTTTGAATGGTGGCCAGAGCAGCATGTACCGTCCCAGCAGCTGCCTCCAAAGATTGTTCCAAGAGTCAGAATTAGCTAGAAGGACTGAGAGCCTGTGACACAGAGAGGGTGGGAACGGTCTTCTCCCACTTGGTATCAGTGAACTGAGATAAGGCAGCTTGCTGTGAAAATGAAATCTGAGGCCAATTTTAAGGTCACTTGTAGCAACAACGAAAATTTTAAGTCCCAATTGTGGAAAATAGAATTTGGGGGTATAATTTAACATTATTTACCTGTAAAAGAAAATTCCAATTTTGTGAATTTTAGATGATTTTTTTCCATTACAATTAGTATGGTCCATTATGTTTATTATCAGATCATTTCCTGAAAAGATAGCATTTTATTATATAGTGTAATGCTTTGGAAAATAAAACTTGCATGGATGTATTTTTGGAGGGACCAAAATGAGCCCACAGGGACAAGAATGATGCTACTTATAAAAACAGAACCAATAATTGCAGTAATTCTCCCTCCGTGCTTCTTAGATACAACTTTCTCGATGTTCCTTTCTGGCAAGATGTCCCTCATTTTATTTTTGAATTAGGTATGACTCAGGGTTCGTGCAAACAGGCTCATTTACCATGGGACCAGAGCCAGCTTTAAAGTTAACCTTGCCAGGATCTTGTGGTACTTTTATCTTTCCTCAATTTTTTTCTTTCTCCTTAATGTCTCAAGAATAATCCTTCCAAGTTTCATCTGACAGCACAAATCTTTCATTTAGTTGCTTGAACTACTCCTTTGCTTATATTTCACTAGTTGTTTTTAAAATATAGAAGTTATAAGCAAAAGCAACTTTTAATTGTGTCCAACTTTTAATATGGACACAAAAAAGTTACATGCCATTAAATTTGCAGTGGTGTGTTTCTGTCCTCCGAGCTCATGGTGAAACTCTCCCTCTGTTTTTGGCCTAAGGAGCTCCATTCCGTCTCCCGCATAAAGAACAGACTTACTTTTTAATTGACCCCATCAAAGATCATTTGCTTGCATTTAGAGAAATTCAGTAATCTTTGACTAGCCTATTTAAAATAGTATGAGGAGTTGGAGTGTATCTGTCTCTAAGCCAAGACATAGAGTCAAGCCACAAGCAGTCTTCTGGGGGTGAGCTTCTGGGAGTTGATTACATCCCATGTAAATTTCCTAGGGGCCAGGAACTTATGGATGGAGGTGTCCTAGAAGCTAGTATGGAGGGTGTTGGCTGACAATATAGATTTCTAAAAGAAGATAATTTTTTTCATAGTTCATGTAAAAGGTCAGTTTCCCTAAGATGAAATGTATTTCTGTTTTGTCAGACAAATGTTTGCTTTTGTTTTCAGGACGTTTAAATACCACTTTGTCACTTTGGAATTATCTAAACCAGATAAGACTTGATATTTCAAGCGTTTGCCTATTCCCTCTTGGACTTTTGCAATGCATGTTTAGGTAACATGCATATTGTCAGATTTCCCATGAGTCATATCGTGTGCTCTGTCTCTCTCTCCTTTTATAAATTGTGAAAAAGAAATATAATTTACAACATCCCTAAGAGCACAGAGTCATCCCAGAATCGTCTTGTATATTATTTCCGAAGTGCTGTGTCTTTGTGCTTTTCTAGTTGGATATTCTTGTCCTCACATTTATGAAATCATTTTTTTAAAGATTTTATTTATTTTTAGAGAGGGAATGGAGGGAAAAAAGAGAGAGAGAGAGAGAAACAACAATGTGTGGTTGCTGGGGGTCATGGCCTGCAACCCAGGCATGTACCCTGACTGGGAATCGAACCTGCAACACTACATTTATGAAATTTTAATAAACCTTGTACCTTTTGTAGTTTTTCTTTACTTTGGAGTAAAATACAGTTAATCTAAATGCTAACACTTACAGAGCTTTCTCATTTCAAAAATATAAAGAAATTAGCACTGCTCCTTTGCTTCATATAGCTAATAAAACTAATGAATTCTTTCTTAGCATCTACTTAGATGTTCGTATTTCATTAGTAAAACTCTAAATTATAATTTAAATAGTTTCAAAACTTAATTTGTGTCATGAGTTATATTTTTGGGAGCCAAGGACATTAAAATTAACCTGCAGTGCTCTAGGAAGAAATATATTGTTACCCCAAGAGGAGAGAGAGTTTTCCAGAGTATTTCTAAGAAAGAAACAAATGGCTTTATCAAAAACAAAAAACCTCTTCTCACCTGAAATGTAAATTGTGAATCCAGGACAATCATGTAAAGCTTTTCTTATAATTTTTTAGATTGTATTTATAATTTTATACAGAGATGATAATGGAAATACTTGAGTGAATCTTACATAATGAAATGCTTTCACAGAAATTCCATTGTGATCAATCAAACAAATCAAGAAGATATTTGTCTTTCATCAAGATCTACCTAATAGTAGAACTTAAGAGCCAAAGGTCTCCTCTCTCCTGGATATCCTGGATTGAAAACCATAGGATTGCCTAGTAAACAAAATCATTCATTATCCTTCAGGGAAAAATGATTAAGGTTGTATTGGCCTACTTTCTTCTTATTCCTCTGTCCTTCTTCTACATAAGGAGGTACCAAGTCATGAAGATATACTATTGTGAATGTCACTGATACCTTATTGGATGAACTCTAAATGGCTTTTATTCTTTTGGTTGAAGGTGGTAGGTAGGCAAATAACATTGTCCTATCATGGTGTCTTAGCTTTTTGTGAGCACCATCTAGTTCCTTATTTCTTCAACTTTATAACAGAGAAATTATTCTATTTAACACTTAAAAAGTTATCCTATGTACCATTTTATATTTGCCCATAGATACAACACATGCTGAAATCATTAATTTTTCATTTTCTATGAGGACATAGGATGGGGCAAATGTAGGTTTACAGTTGTTTGTATGAAAAATAATAAATAACTTTGTTTTGCATACTCAAAGTGTAAACCTACTTTTGCCTCACCCTGTATGTAATGTTTAAAGAATAGGATTCACCCTCATTGGTAAGAGTAATTTTCTTCTCTTTCTGTAAAACTGTAGCAGCTCTTGCCATTTAGAGTGTGGATAACAATTTTTGGCATAATTATCTTTAAATACAGAGTAATATCTGCCCATTTCTAGGGACATTTGATGAGTGGACCTCTGATAGTGATCAGTAAACCCCTGGACATGTGTGATTTAGACTTTCTGATACTTTCTGTCTCTGCATCTAATGATAGTTTCCCCTGCCAGTGGACATAAAGTCTGTTCTTGCTGTAGCACTTTCGGTTTCCGAAGTTCGCAGCACTAAATAACTGTATGAATGAAAGCAGAGCCTCAGGAAGGGTGGCGGGCCTCTGCGGTCACCAGTGCCCCAGGCAGACCTTCACTCCTCCCCAGGACAGTTTCTTAGAGGGCATGACAGCTGCTTTCTTCTAGGTATAGGCAAGTATGGTTGGACGTTGTTGTGACCTTCTAGCACCCAACTTGTCTCTACAGTTCCACCTAATTTTTCTAAACTGTCAGCACTTCTTATTGGCAGAGCTGCCCACCCCATCCCACGATGTGTGCTCACATTGGCACTGTTGCTAATAAGAAGATACAAACCCAGGGATGGCTAATTACTGATGATCAGTTTGAAGTAGCACTTCCTTCTTTCCAGCCTCTAAAACACAAAAATGATCTGAACAGGCAAGTCACTCCAAAGGAG